ACACATGCATTGATAATCATAAGAAACTTATGGACAAGTGTGCTAAATCTAGTGCTATAACTTTAAAATTATCTACACACTATGCACACTTGTATAGCAAAGTTTACAAGTGCTCCATTTATGATCGTAAAAGCCATTTAGCTAAATTTTGCTATGATGCACACAAATATAAAAATGTCAATGCTCCTTGTGCATCTCATCAAGTCTCTTCATCACATGTACACACACATGCACCCATTGTTCATCATAAGCATGCTAATGTGTATCATTGTGATTTTTATGGTAGAGTTGGTCACTTAGCTAAGTTTTGTTTTGATTTGCCAAAAGTTTCTAAATCGCAAAATATTTCAAGTAGACCAACATTATTTCAAAATATTTCTCATTTGCAAAATAATCTTAAAAGACCATCTTTATTTGCAAATGTTCCTCATGCACATCCACATGGTCAACATAACCAAATGCATCATCTTCATTGCACTTATTGCAATCGAATGAGTCATTTGCATAATTATTGCTATGACCGGACACGTGTACTAAATGCACCCAAATGAGTTCATAACCCTAAGGCTTTGAGCTTGAATGATAGGGGTCATATCCCTAAACCTTTTGGTACCAAGAACACTTGGGTACCAAAACAAATTTGATTTTAAACCAAGATTTTTAGTGTTTTTATAATTGTTTTTCTTGGTTTTAAAAAATGTATTTTAAACTTTTATGAAAACAATTCCTTTTATTGGTCAATTTTTTTTGTTTTTATGATTATTGGTTTTGTTTTGATGAGAGGTTTGTATTTATATAACCCTCCGGGTTTATTGGGTGTTTATTCCCAAATCATGTTTACCGGATGCTTAAATGTTTATATGGGTTGTTACTAGCTCAAGAGCTAGATATAGTTACCTCTATTTATTTTTAAAAATCAATGATGGTTAATTTTATACTCTTAAAAATGATTTTTTTAATCCATAGTTCATAATTCTTGTATGTTACTTTTGAACTATGAAAATTTTGCTTTGATTTGTTCTTTTGAATTCATTATATAAGCACAAATAGATGATTCAAATTTCAAATATGTTTTATAATGCATTCTATGAGTGATTTGATCAAGTCCTCAAAGAAAGTATTCTTTTTTGATCAAACATCATTTTTGGATTCAAACATTGATTTATGATTTCATTTGAGTGATTTGTTTTCTTTTGAAAACTTTTTCACGGTTCTCATGTTCCCTCATTCTTTTGCTTTCATAAATTCATTCATACATGGTTTTTATGCTTGAGAAATGAGACACTATGCTCACTTTGATATATTTATATATGTTCTCATTGTCCTTATGTATGTGAGTTGTGTTTAGCATATTTTCCATCTATACTTGCTCACATATGTTTGCCATGATCTTTATTTTATATTTTCTCTATGGCATTTTGATAGGGGAGCAATCCTCATATATATATTTTTTATACTCACCCATGCTTACTGATAGGGGGAGCTTTCGCTCTCTTAATTCTTTTGGTTCCCCTGTTTGATGTTGTCAAAGATGGAGAAATATTATGAGTATATTCTTTCTTATTTATATGCATGATATATTATACTTTGTATATTCATTTCATTCATTTCCTTTCATGCATATATCCTTTTTGTAAATTGTTTGTCATCATCAAAAAGGGGGAGATTGTTGTCCTTCTTGTTTTGATGATGTTTAACAAATAATTTACTTCTAATGTTGTTTGTCTAATGTTTGTGTCTTTGTATTTATTCTAGGCAAACAACATGTTGGAGGATGGATGGAATAGCGCTTCAACGACGATATCAAATGGAGGTTGGCGGAATTGTGGAGTGAAGCTTATGCAATTCAAGTTCAAGATTCAAGTTCAGCGTCATCCGCATAGCTTACGAAGTTGAGGTACAATGAAGATCAAGATCAAGCTTGGGTAACATTTAGTTTAGGTTTATATATTATGTGTGTTGGTACTCTAAGCTCAATCATATACACACATACACGTTTTGGTTTTGTATATATATAGTTATATATATACATGTTTTGGTTTGATAGTTTTCAAGTTTTACTATGGAACAATTGAATATAATTAGAAAACATATGTTTGTTTCATACTCATATGTTTCATATTCTATTGTATTTATGAAAATACTATATTCATTGTTTATAGACTTCATAACAATAGTTTACATCTTTCTTCAAGTCTATAAAATCATTTTGTAAAGTTTTAAAATATGGTTTAGCCTAAATGTCAAAATTTACATGTTTACATTTTCAGGTTTTGGCCTATTTTGTAAAATGATGATATTTTTTATTTGGAAAGTTCTTTTTAGAAACCAGTCATTGTAGCATATTTATTATCATGTCTATAATCATTCCCCAAAGTTTTATTTTTTTAGAATTTATTTGATATTTTAAACAGGGTTTTAAAATCAGCATTTCAGCTTTCAAAACCTGTTTTAGCATGTATCAGTTCGCGGCCGACCACCACGGTCGACCGCCATAAGTTCAGAAACTCATTATATGTTTTTATGGCTCCCCGTCCAGAGACTTTCACGGTCGACCGTCGCGGTCGACCGTCGCATGTCCAGAGCCATAGTGTTGTTTTTTTGTTGCTCGTGGTCGACCGTCGCGGTCGACCGCCGAACTAATGATTGCTTTGTAACGGGTAGTTTCCAGAGCCGTTGCTGAGTTGGTTTTTTGGTCTTTTCTTGGGTTTCTCTTGGCTTTGGGGTTTCTATAAATACCCGCTTATACCTCAATTCGATTAAGCAATCCACGAAATGTTTTAACAAGTTTTAAAAGAGTTTAAGTTTGGTTTTAAGTTTGTTTAAGAAGCTTTTAAGCATTTTGAGTGTTTCGGTTTTGTGAATCAATTCCACAAGAGCTTGAGGAGATCATCTATTGAAGTTTGAGCTTCCAACTATTCTCCCTCTACCTCTTGATCTATTGATTATAATTATTTGTTGTTCATATTCTTATTATTGCTAGTTTGCTATTTGAGTTAGATTTGATTTTATCTCATTGTTACACACCCACTTGAGCTTATTGTATTTGTATTCATAATATATTTTGGGTTGGTGAGAGTTGTAATAATTGAGTGTGAGCTTTCATTGTGTTCTCATCCATAGTAGAGAACAAACATTTATTATATTGAGCCTTATTTTGAGATTCACTTTGTAATACACTTGTACACCGAGAGAAGTGTGTGGCGAGAGTCGGGGATCGTCCCAAAAGGAGTGGCGTCGGTTGACGAACCTAAGGAGAGGTTATAACCGAGCACTTGAGGGAGACACGTCTAGTTCAACATTTGAGAGGGTGTTGAGTGGGATTGTAAGAGTGGTGATTGTAAAATTTTCGGTTAGCTAGAAAACCGAGTGTGCGGTGTAAACGTTATTCGGGTGAACGTAGAAAACCCGGTTTTGTTAGTGGATTTCTCCCCGGGAGTGGGGAGCAGAGACGTAGGACGGAAGGTCCGAACTCCGTGATCATTTGATTGTGTTTGTGTGTGATTTGGCGTTCATCTATATTTGTGTTCATTGCTCATATCGCCTTTGTCTCATTAGTTAGTTTGTCCACCTCTTTGTTTACATTGTTTACCCTTGTGTCGTTTATATATCATTGCTCATATATTTGTAATATCTCATTGCTAGGATATATTCATTAGTTCATATTGCTCATCCTAGCTCATATATATTGTTGTATTTTATTCTTACTAGGATAACTTGTTAATTAGTTTTAATTAGCATTTAAATCGGATTAGATTAGCAAAAGACCCTAATCACCACCCCCCTCTAGGGTTTAACATTTATAACTCCCAAATAGTAGATCACGTGACGACAGTCTGGGTTAAAGGAAATAATGATAATATTTTATTTTAAAGAGAGATTATTGTGTTGATAATTAATCCCGCAAAAAAACTTTATTTTCTCTTTTATTTTTATTCTATTTTTATTAATTTAAATAACCATGATATTCGACCACGTGCATTGCACATGCAATCTAACTAGTAAATCTAAAAAAGAGTTAGTTTTGAAAATTTATTCTAGAATGAATTGAATAAATTTCAAGGCATTATTTATATCCTATTCGTTTATGGACCACATACTAGAATTTATTTACTATTAAATGAACTGTCAGATCGAATATAAATGAATATATGGACAAATAATTAACGAACTATTTGTTTATTATTTGGTTCACTTCCATCAATGTCAAGAATGAGTAACTAATACTAAACATAAACTAACAAAACCAAGCTCATAATACACAATAATTTTAATTTTCTTTACTTTCTGAGAGGACGCCGCATTGGAAATCTCAACTGTCCAACATTGTACATATTTAGTTAGATGATTTATACCCATGTCATAACATTAAGGAGAAACACAATTTAACAATGTAGCCGTCAATATGTAAAGGTTTAAGCATATAGGTGCATTACTAGGTAACTCTCGTAATTTACATCATCATACAAAGGCTGGAACAAATCAAATTAAATCTATCAAGGAGGTGTTCACATATGAAATTTTTCAATAGTCTTCGGATTCAAATTTCAAATGGTAATGAAATTAAATGCAGATGGCTGAACCTCCCTCCTTGAACTTCCATGTATAATCTTGATTTCTGTAACTGGTTCCTATACAAATTATTTATGCTAGAAATGACATTGTATTTGTACAATACAAGGGTGGCCAACTCGGACCACCGGTAAACCATAAATGGAAGAATATCTGCAAAACATAATGATAAGCTGGGAAGCTGATAATATAGAGCAAACAAATGTTTTTTTTTCTTAAATGGGAAATAAGGGTCTTAGCCCATTTCATTAATGAGTAAGAGCGAACAAATGCTACAAGGAGTTACAATACGCAGCTCAGAAAGATCTGAGATGAGGGAATCTAAGATAAATTTACAGCAAAGTGGAGTACGCGTTACCGCAGACAGGATCAGTTCACAAGTTTGCAACAAAGTACGCACTTATACCAAACAAGAGACTACAATGGCATGTTTTGAAAGAGTAATTATCTATGGACAGATATCAACATAACTATATTACTATTTATACAGTATAATACATCAAGAGCCGTCACCAAAATGAATGTGTGCAAGAAACTGAACAAGAACTAGTTACACGCTACGTATCCCATTTCAGCATTGCAGGCTTTTTCAGCATCTGAAACAAAGCAAGTTACCAAATTGAGGGTGACGCTTTAAGTGTACATATCAATATCACACAAGACAAATATCTTACCTATGCAAACCTCGTCCCTTGAGTCCTCCATTTCAGTGCTCCAGCATCATTTGCCAATTTGAAGTCTTTTGATGACGCTCTTGAACCTTGTTTCCTGTGTTGGCCTTGAATACTCAATAATGACTGTGTAAATGGATTTTTCGATGACAATGAAGGCAAAGTTTGCTGGAGCCAGGACTCAGAAGGAGATTTTGGCAATGGAGGAGGAAGGAGAGAAAGTGCAAGTGCATCACTATTCCTCTCCTTTTCTTCAACTTTCAAAGCCAATTGGCTATTATCGTAGTCATTCATCCCATTAAAATTTGATTTTTGTTCTGAACCAGATGATAAGCCTACTCCATTTGACTCAGAAATTTTAGACTGCAACTCATCCTTCTGACAAGTTTCATGAACAGAATTATCCTCCATTGTGTTCGCTACACAAAGAGTTCTATCAACTGAATGGCGCTTAGAGAATGAACCTTGATTCTTGCCTTGAGCAGGACTCATATTGCTATATTTTTCACTGACTCTCTCACTCCAATCAAAGCTAACAGTCTTCCTACCCTCCAGTCCTCTCCTAAGAACTGCTAGAGAACCCTTATCTTCATTAAGAGATGATTTCAGAGAATGGTGGCTTGACGAATCATCGAGAGTTTGGGAATCACTCCAGTATGTAAGGTTATTTGATTCACTCGTGAACTTACTTTCATCCTCTAATGGACTGTTCATATTACTGACCTTATGCTTGTATACCACATCCCATGACTGTCACATACCAATAAAAAACAACACCAAGTTGATCAGAATCAATCTATAACAAAACTATAACTACCAAAATTTAGCCTTTTATGATAAAATTTCACCTCATTCGCAGCTTGTGCGATTGACCCATTATTAGAAACTTTGACTTGAGAAGTCAGTGGCAAATGGCTTCGAACTTTCATCCCAGGGATTGGGTTCAACAAAAGAAACGAACTTTTCAAGAAAAATCGAGGAATCAATCCACAAGCTCTCGAAAAATGAGTACCACCCGTATAATCCTCCTCCTCCTCTTCATCCATATACCTCCCAAGCTCTTCGCGATCATAAGCAATCTTCGAAACAAAATCAGGCCTATGTTGATAAGGCAGAGGAACAGGCAACCTTCTATACTTCACATTACCTTCTTTCTCTTCCTCTTTTGAAGAGCTAATCTCTAACGGGCCTGTAGCCATTGCCTTGGCTGCCGTCAAGAACCGACCCATCATGAATTCGCAAGCCTCTGCATCCTTATCAGAGCTCCTCGAATCCTCCACGTCATCATGCTCGCCGCTAAAACCACTGACGCCGCAATCAAAGAAAGATGAGTCTCTGCATGAAAAAGTTTCGACTCCATCCGCAGAGGCTCCACCGTCATCATCCTCAACAAGGGTTGGATCTTGCGAGAGCCCCTTCGGTCTCCCAGGCGTTTGCTCCCATGTAAAGGGGATAAATCCCGGGCTTTGGGCTGTTTTCGCTCTCGGCCCGTTCTTTGAGGCGATTCGTCGAACAGATAGAAGGGGCGCATCAAAATCCAATCTTTTCTCTCCCATCGATGGAGTTTAGGGTCATTCCTCGAGATGGGTATTGAAGAAACGGGGAATTGGGAAAGGGGTAGGGGATAGTTTGGCGGGTAAGTAAGCATATACGGTAACTGACTCTTAAGTTGGGTAAGGAGCAAATCTTTGGTTGCTTTTGCTGGGTGAATTTCTTTCGAGTAGGCAACCGAAAAGGTTTTGAGGAAGGAATGAGAGAGAGAGAGAGAATAAAGGAATGGGTCCAAAAGAGATGATGAAGTTGATGTTTATTGGTAAAGAATTGCGGGTGGGTGTTGAGTGAAGGGGTAGTTAAGAGTCTGCTTGTCGAGGAGTTGATTGGTGATGGAGAATGGTAAAGCAAATAAGCCGTGGATCTCTAGGGGTTAGTTATGCGACTGGTCCACGAGGATTATGATAGGGTCTGGCGTAAAACTATCAGTAAGGGCCTGTTTGGATTTGTAAGGGGTGAAGGGAAGTTAAGGGAAACTGAGAGAAGGGAAGGGAAGGGAATGGAAGGGAAGGAAAGAGAGTTCCCCTTCCCTTGGTTACACCCCAATTTGGGGGTAACAAATTTTATACCATTAGGGGGTGAACCAAGGGGAACTCGGGTGAATTAACTTCACCTCCTAAGTGTTCCCAAACAAGATGAATGGAGGTGAATGGTTCCCCTAACTTCCCTTCACCCTCATTCCCCTCAATCCAAACAAGCCCTTAGACTAAAAGTGCACCTAACAGGGGATAAAAGGTTTAATTGCACAGAGACCACCCCCGAACCTAAATTTGCAGTGTCATTTTGGTACGTAGACCTCCTACGCGAATTTTTTTTTTCACTCCGTTGCCCTCAGGTGGGCTTTACTAATTTCACTCATGGATAATATCTGTTAAATTTTCACCTAAGTTAAAAATTCTTAAGATCCATGAGTCCATATGCCAAAATGAAACTGCGAGGAGAGTAAGTTCAAAACAGTGATACCACAAGGTGACAAGGGGGTCTAAAAATCTCTCTATGTTGTCATTGTTGTGCTCATAAAATATATGGATTTCTGATACAGATCATCTGGTGCATAAGATTTACTGAATAATAGTTTCTGAGATATGATCATGAATGTATATGCTTAGTAATATTTGGTCGAGGCAGATGAAATCGGCTTATTGCTAGTGAACAAGATCTACTAAATAGTTTTATCATGATGGATGAGGTTTTGCCAATTACTCATAAAATTGTGTACGTATAGAGAATTGTATGAATAATTGATTATTGGAAAATATGAATTATGTGATTTTAACTTTTTGTTTTTAATTTAATCATTTGATAATGAGCTTGTTATTTAAATGATTAATATTTAGTAATAAATAAATTGCATACTTTGATTTAGCATTTAATCATTTGATGATGGACATAATTGAATATTGCCAAAATAAAAAGGGTGAAAGAGGCAATAAAAATTTTGAGGTAGTAATCCTCTTTTATCAATAGTATAGACAGATTACATTAAAAACAAATCACGGCAACTAGTCACAAATATCCAATATTAACTTGAAAGCTACGAAATCCAATTTAAAACTCAATTCAATATCTAAAATTGTCAATGACGAGAGAGCGTTTAGGAAAGGAACACGATGGTGATAACCTGGTTCTAGCAATTAAGCACAAGCCACGAGATATATATATATATAGAGAGAGAGAGAGAGAGAGAGAGAGAAATATGGGTATGCTTGGTACCAAGCATAAATTTTGTGCTTGGTAGTGATGTGTCACATCCACATCCACTCATTACTCATGTGAATGTGGTCCCATATTTGAATAAGTGGAGGGAGATGTGACACCTCACTATCAAGCACAACTTTTTGTGCTTGGTATCAAGCATACCAATATTTCTCATATATAAAGAAATATGGGTATGCTTGGTACCAAGCATAAATTTTGTGCTTGTTAATGATGTGTCACATCCACATCCACTCATTACCCATGTGAATGTGGTCCCATATTTGAATGAGTGGAGGAAGATGTGACACCTCACTACCAAGCAAAACTTGGTAGTAATGTGGCCTAATCCGGTCCCTACATCTACATTAGAATTGGTAAAAGGTCATCCACTCATTACCCATGTGAATGTGGTCCCATATTTGAATGAGTGGAGGAAGATGTGACACCTCACTACCAAGCAAAACTTGGTAGTAATGTGGCCTAATCCGGTCCCTACATCTACATTAGAATTGGTAAAAGGT